TGTTACTTAGTTACTCTGTCAGATATTTTTGGAGGTTCTAGCAGGGAGTGCAGCTATTGTATACCTGGGACTGAAGACTGGAGACCTTGGTACACTCCTTCTATACCTGGGATGTTGTCCTCTTCCACCGAGCGCACAGTTTCGGGAGGGACACCCGTCCAGCCAGCCAGATCAACTGAATCAGGCTGTTAGGTGTTAGGCGATACCTCATTGTCCGAGTATGATAGTCTTCCAGGGTCAGTGTGCATTGTGCGGTGGATCTGTAGATGACTGTGGAGCCCCATTCTTGATCTGCATCTTCCCCTGCAGTGAGGGCATTGGTTTCCAGGTGGAAGGCGGTCCCGGTCGAGGTTGGCTTGACACACCTTCCTCTTGGCACGTTTCTCTCTTTCACCCTCCATTCGTGCCTCTTCAAATTCTACAGCACTGCTGGTCACAGCCGACCTCCAGCTGGAGTGCTCAAGGGCCAGGGCTTCCCAGTTCTCAGTGTCTATGCCAGAGTTTTTAAGGTTGGCTTTGAGCCCATCCTTAAATCTCTTTTCCTGTCCACTAACATTCAGTTTTCCATTCTTGAGTTCGGAATCAACTGAATCAACCCTGGAGATCATTGGAGTGACAGATGTCACAGCCAGATCACCCTCACATCCGGTCAGATATTTTTTCCTGCTTTATGTCTAAATCAAAGCCATAGGGTTGTGTTGAATCAAAGCGTGATTGGGCAACATTGTCTTTGGATCGTAAGATATACGATACCTTTTCCATTGGTCTCCTGGTCCAACTCCCACCGGCCACCTCCCACACTCTATCAATGGCCGATTGCTCAGCTGGAGAAAGCATAGAGAGCAATAACCTTTCAATTGGCCTGCTCTGACCCGGTTGGTTCTTTTCTTTAATTAGCCACCTTTGCCTTTTTCTCTTCAGAAAAGAGAATCAATATATTTGCATTTCCAGCCCACCTTCCCTCAACTGGCTGAGTAGTACCTGTCCTGTTTATGTTGGAAAATTTCCATAATCTTGCAGCAACAAAGCAATGTTGACTCAGTGGATTATATCAGAGGCCTCTGGCTGATGCTTTGGCTTATTCCCCGTTTTTCAAATCAATAAGTTAAGTTCAGTGACTCGCGTTCTGTACCTCGAGGTCATACGTGGCTCATCTTTCTATCTGTTATTTATCTGTCCCCATGACTTCATTCCTCTGACTGTTGCTGCTGACCTTCAGCTTTCCCATTCACTCCTATGGACCACACCTCAGCTTGGAAAGTTACTTTGAAGAGGAGTGCATAGAAAGACATCAGCCCAAAATGTCACTGTTAATTGTGTTTATTTATAATCAGCTTTCCCCCTAAGATCACTTATACTAGTTTAAACAAATGCAATCATCCCTCCACATCAGTGGTTCAAAACCTTTTTTTGACCAGGGACCACTCTCCAACGTTAGTACCAAAAGGGTTACGAATCAGTTTTTGGTCAACTTTAGATTTGGTTTGGTTATTTGGGGTGCTGACTCAGAAAACTGCATTGAATAGACCACATCAGCTCTAGTTTCTGATGCAGAACATATGCCATCCAGTAGTCGCCATCTGCTCACCCACAGAAAACCATATTTAATAATCTAGAGCTGATGTGGTCTATCCAATGCAATTTTCTGAATGAGCACTCCAAATAAGCCAAGGAACAAGCCTAAAAGACACCAAAACATATTTAATAATCATATTTAATAAACATATTTACCTGGGAGTCACTCTGGACCGTTCTCTGACCTACAAGAAGCACTGCCTGAACATCAAGCAAAAAGTGGGTGCTAGAAACAATATCATATGAAAAAGCTGACTGGCACAACCTGGGGATCACAACCAGACACAGTGAAGACATCTGCCCTTGCGCTATGCTACTCTGCTGCTGAATATGCATGCCCAGTGTGGAACACATCTCGGCACGCTAAAACAGTAGATGTGGCTCTTAATGAGACATGCCGCATTATCACGGGGTGTCTGCGCTGTACACTACTGGAGAAATTACACTGTCTAGCCGATATTGCACTACCTGACATCCACCAGGAAGTAGAAGCCAATAGTGAAAGGACCAAGGCAGTGACATCTCCAGCTCATCCCTTGTTTGGGTATCAGCCAGCACGTCAACGACTTAAATCAAGAAACAGTTTTCTAAGATCTACAGAAACACTTGCTGGAACACCCCAGCAAGCGAGAGTCCAAAAGTGGCAGGCTCAAACCCAGAACCTCAATCAGGGGCTGATACCAAATGAGAGACTCCCCCCTGGGCACACAGAGGACTGGGCGACTTGGAAGGCGCTGAACAGACTGCGCTCTGGCACCACAAGATGCAGAGCCAACCTTAAGAAATGGGGCCACAAAGTGGAATCCACGACATGCGAGTGTGGAGAAGAGCAAACCACTGACCACCTGCTGCAATGCAACCTGAGCCCTGCCACATGCACAATGGAGGACCTCCTTGCAGCAACACCAGAGGTGCTCCAAGTGGCCAGATACCGGTCAAAGGACATTTAATCAACTACCAAGCTTGCAAACTTTGTGTTTTGTCTGTTTGTTTATTTTGTTAAAAATGTAATACAACTGTCTGGTTGCTCCTGACACTAAATTTAATAATCTAGAGCTAATGTGATAGCAGTAATCTTTGGTGTTTTCTCAGCCTTTCCCCTTCTGACATCCCTTTTGCCTTGGCACTGTAAGAGACCATGGGAGCAGTCGCTCTTGTTGCCCCGTGGTTTCAAGGCAACAATGTAGCAATGGTGGGGCCGCAGACCATATTTTCATTCTTGCAGACCACTGGTGGTCCACAGACCATAGGTTGGGAACTACTGCTCCACATTTACTGGGATTAGGGGCACCTCCATGAAGGTGGAAAAATGCAAATAAAGAAATTGCTACTTTTTTTACTTAAGAGAATACGTACCCAGGAATCTCTCTAAGTCTTTTAGCATGACTCTACAGTCAACTTCCACTGGAAGATAATTCTACAATTGGAGAACATAGAAATATCTAGGTCATCCCGCAAAAGTGAAAAAAAATTGAACCCCCCCCCCCGCCCATTTTTTTTACCTGTGATAACACTTTTCTAGGAATTTCTAAATGGAAGTTGGCCATATTGCCATATTGGAGGACCTAAAGTCCCCCCTCCCTTTCTTTTCAAGGAAAAAGGGTGGAATGACCAGGGTGGGACAAAGGACTCTTGTCTGCTGGAGCTAGGTGTGAATGTTTCAACTGACCATCTTCATTAGCATACAATGGCCTGACTGTGCCTGGAACAAACTTTTGTTGAGAGGTGATTAGATTAGAGACCACCAAACACAGCATTGCCCAAGCACGAATCAAGGAATATGAGAGGCACTGCAGACTCCTTCAACCAGAGAAATCAGCCATAGCAAAGCACCTGATGAACCAACCTGGACACAGCATTTTATTGGAGAACACAGAAATGCTGGACCACTCTCTCAACCACCATGTCAGACTACACAGAAACGCCATTGAAATCCACAAGCATGTGGGCAATTTCAACAGAAAGGAGGAAACCATGTAAATGAACAACATCTGGCTACCAGTATTAAAAAACTCTAAAATTGCAACAGCACAACAACAGAGAGGAAACAAACAAGGACATATAATACCTCTCAACAAAAGTTTGCTCCAGGCACAGTCAGCCCATTGTATGCTAATCAAGGTGGTCAGTTGAAACATTCACATCTAGCTCCAGCAGACAAGAGTCCTTTGTCCCACTCTGGTCATTCCACCCTAAAGCTTCCATCAGTCCATTGACAACAACGCCCCGCCCCCTACATTTTCCCAGCCTGCCCTGCGCTATCCAAAAGGAGAAGGCCTTGAGGCGAAGGGAGAGAAAAGAGAGAAGGGTTTTTTAAATATTCAAATTAAGGGGGCGGAGCTTCCTTCCCTGCCTGAAGAGCTTCTCTCCTTGTACGCGAGGAATAGGAAAAAAGAGAGAGGAAGGGAAAAAAAACCTTCCTTCTTTCCGATTGGTCACAGAGAAAGGTTTTTTTTGAATATTCTAATTAAGGGGGCGGGATTCTCTGTACGCTTGGTATAGGAAAGGCCGTGAGGGAGGGAAAGCGAGAGAGGTTGATTTGAATATTCTAATAAGGGGGGCGGTAGGAAAGAGGCGATGAGGGGGAAAAAAGTGAGAGGTTGATTTAAATATTCTAATCAAGGGGGCGGGGATTCCTGTACGCTAGGAATAGGAAAGACTTCTGAGGGGAGAGAAAGGGAGAGGGGTTGATTTGAATATTCTAATAAGGGGGCGGGGCTTCCTCTACTGTAGGAATAGGAAAGAGGCGATGAGGGGGAAAGAGTGAGAGGTTGATTTGAATATTCTAATCAAGGGGGCGGGGATTCCTGTAGGCGAGGACTAGGAAAGGCTGTGAGGGGAGAGCAAGGGAAAGAGGTTGATTTGAATATTCTAATTAAGGGGGCGGGGATTCCTGTAGGCGAGGTCTAGAAAAGACTGTCAGGGGAGAGTAGTTGATTTGAATATTCTAATGAGTGGGCGGGGATTCATCTACTGTAGGAATAGGAAAGAGGCGATGAGGGGGAAAAGGGCGAGAGATTGATTTGAATATTCTAATTAAGGGGGCGGTGATTCGTGTACGGTAGGAATAGGAAAGAGGCAGTGAGGGAGGGGGAAGGGAAAGAGGTTGATTTGAATATTCTAATTAAGGGGGCGGGGATTCATCCACGGTAGGAATAGAAAAGAGGCGATGAGGGGAAATAAGGGGGCGGGGTTCCCTGTACGCGAGGAATAGGAAAGGCCGTGACAGGTGGGAAAGGTTGATTTGAATATTCTAATTAAGGGGGCGGGGTTTCCTGTACGCAAGGCATAGGAAAGGGCCCAGGTTGAGAACCACTGGGCTAGAGGGTGATTTGAATATTCTAATGAAGTGGGTGGAGCTTCATTCCCTCTGTGTGTGTGTGCGCGTGCGCGAGAGAGAGACCGAGAGCGGAGAGGGAGCAGAAGCCGAGCGGAGAGATCGCCCCGCCCCTTTCACCTCCTCCTCCTGCTCCTCCTCCCCCGCCCTTGGTCTCGCGCCCTTTCAGTTGCCGGCTGCGCCGCTCGCGTGACGACGACGACGACGTCGCCGCTGTTGCTGCTGCTGCTCCGTCTCGCGCCGCCGCGGCCCCGTCTTCGCCTCCTTTCTCCCTTCTTCTCTGCCTCTGCCGCCATGGCGAACTACATCCACGTGCCGCCGGGCTCCCCGGAGGTGCCGAAGCTGGACCTCGCCGTGAAGGAGTCGGAGCCTTCCGGAGGAGGAGAAGGAGGCGGTGGTGGTGGGGGTTACCGCTACGGAGCCCTCCAGCTGCTGAGGCGCCTGAGGCCTGACTGGAAGCCTGAGGAGGTGACGCTGAAGGTAGGAGAAGAAAATGGAGGAGGGGATGAAAGGGAGGCTGAGTGAGGATGTGAGAGGCCGGGGAGGAGGGAGGGTGTGAGGCAGAGCGAGGAGGAGGGAGAGGGGGAGAGAGAGACGAGGCGCAGCCATTGTGGCGAAAGGGAAAGGAGGAGCTCTTGCCGCAGCTCTCTCTTTTCTCTCTCCCTCGAGGAGGGAGGATGGATGGATGGGAGGAAGGGAGGGAAAAAGGAGGGGGAATGGATGCTCTCTCTGTCTTTTATTAAGCTTCCCCCACACTATGGTAAGGAGGAATACAAGGAGATAGGAATAAACGTCAACAAAGGCAGGCAAGGTGGTGGGTGCCTGCCTTGCTGTATGGGGCGTGTGCCTCCAGCAGAAAGAAGAAGAAAGAGGGTGCCTTCCCTTCCCTTTTTACAACACAAAATATATCTCCACACGGTACAGAAATGGAAAGAAAGGAGGTTGACATCAGGGGAAAAGAAATCATCACCAATACAGAGTGAAGGAAGGGGGACTTCCATGAATATGTGTGTCTTCGCTGTGAGAGAGAATGCTGTAATTTTTTTAATTCGTTACTCGCATATAACACAGTCAAAAGGTATCAACGGAAAACACATCTATCTATATATAAATAAAAATGTAATGTTCGTATTTGTACACACAAATATATATACACGCATATACATATATATATAAACACAAAACACATCCACACTGACTGGGCTACTTTTTTTATTTGTTACTCACATATAACACAGTCAAAAGGTATCAGCGGTAAACACATCTATCTATATAAATAAAAATGTAATGTTCATATTTGTACACACAAATATATATATACACGCATATACATATATATAAACACACAAAACACACACACACTGACTGGGTTACTTTTTTTATTTGTTACTCGCATATAACACAGTCAAAAGGTGTCAACGGAAAACACATCTATCTATATAAATAAAAATGTAATGTTCATATTTGTACACACAAATATATATACACACATATACATATATATATATAAACACACAAAACACATACACACTGACCGGGCTACTTTTTTTATTTGTTACTCGCATATAACACAGTCAAAAGGTATCAACGGAAAATACATCTATCTATATAAATAAAAATGTAATGTTCGTATTTGTACACACAAATATATATACACACATAGACATATATATATAAACACAAAACTCATACACACTGACTGGGCTACAGCAACGCGTGGCAGGGGACAGCTAGTAAATAAATAAAAATGTAATGTTCGTTTGTGGGATTAACATAACCCAGAAACCACTGGGCGAATTGACACCAAATTTGGACACAAAACGCCTCTCATGCCAACAAGTGACCATCACTCATAAAAACACTGAAAAACACAGTGGAAGAGACTTAAAAAACCAAAAAATTAAAAATACATTACAACACATGTGCAAAACTACATATATACACATACACACACACATATACACACATACACACATATATACCTCTGAGGATGCTTGCCATAGAATGCAGGCGAAACGTCAGGAGAAAATGCCTCTAGAACATGGCCATATAGCCCGAAAAAACCCCACAAGAACCTAGAGAATACTGTAATTTTTTTAAAATTTGTTACTCGCATATAACACAGTCAAAAGGTATCAACAGAAAACACATCTATCTATATCTGTATAAAGAAAAATATAATGGTCGTTAGTGGGATTAACATAACTCAGAAACCACTGGATGGATTGACATCAAATTAACATAACCCAAAAACCACTGGGCGAATTGACACCAAATTTGGACACAAAACACCTCTCAGGCTAACAAGTGACCATCACTCATGAAAACACTGAAAAACACACTGGAAGAGACTAAAAACCAAAAAATAATTACAATGCATGCGCAAAACCACATATATACAGATATACACAAATATATATACACACACAAAACACACACTGACTGGGCCACAGCAACGCATGGCAGGGGACAGCTAGTAAATAAATAAAAATGTAATGTTTGTTTGTGGGATTAACCTAACTCAAAAACCACTGGATGAATTGACACCAAATTTGGACACAAAACGCCTCTCAGGCCAACAAGTGACCATCACTCATAAAAACACAGTGGAAGGGACTTTAAAAGCCAAAAAATAATGACAATGCATGTGCAAAACCACATATATAGAGATATACATAAATATACACACATACAAAACACATACACGCTGACTGGGCTACAGCAACGTGTGGCAGGGGACAGCTAGTAAATAAATAAAAATGTAATGTTCGTTTGTGGGATTAACATAACTCAGAAACCACTGGATGAATTGACATCAAATTAACATAACCCCAAAACCACTGGGCGAATTGACACCAAATTTGGACACAAAACGCCTCTCAGGCCAACGAGTGACCATCACTCATAAAAACACAGTGGAAGGGACTTTAAATGCCAAAAAATAATGACAATGCATGTGCAAAACCACACATATACAGATATACACAAATATATACACACTGACTGGGAGAGCTAGTAAATAAATAAAAATGTAATGTTCGTTTGTGGGATGAACATAACTAAAAAACCACTGGATGAATTGACATCAAATTAACATAACCCAAAAACCACTGGGCGAATCGAAATTTGGACACAAAACACCTCTCAGGCCAACAAGTGATCATCACTCATGAAAGCACTGAAAAACACACTGGAAGAGACTTTAAAAGCCAAAAAATAATGACAATGCATGCGCAAAACCACACATATACAGATATACACAAATATATACAGATATACACACATATATACAAATACACGCGAAACACATACATGCTGACTGGGCTAAAGCAACGCGTGGCAGGGGACAGCTAGTAAATAAATAAAAATGTAATGTTCGTTTGTGGGATCAACATAACTCAAAAACCACTGGATGAATTGACATCAAATTAACATAACCCAAAAACCACTGGGCAAATTGACACCAAATTTGGACACAAAACACCTCTTAGGCCAATGAGTGACCATCACACATAAAACACTGAAAAACACAGTAAAAGAGACTTTAAAAGCCAAAAAAATGTACAATGCATGCACAAAACCACATATATACAGACATACACAAATACACACACATATATATACACACACAACACATACACACTGACTGGGTCACAGCAACGCGTGGCAGGGGACAGCTAGTAAATAAATAAAAATGTAATGTTAGTTTGTGGGATTAACCTAACTCAAAATTTGGACACAATACACCTATCAGGCCAATGAGTGACCACCACTCATACAAACACTGAAAAACACAGAAGGGACTTAAAAGCCAAAAAAGCAAAAAGATGCTACAGCGCATGTGCAAAAACAACTCCCCCTGGCAAACAAGAGACACAATATCATAGCCAAATTCTCTTTCGGACTACAGCTCCCAGCATCCCCTACACCAGGCCCTTTAGAAGAGGAAGATGATCCAAATGCACTGCTTCCAAGCTGCAAGCTTTCTTCTCCTTGGATTTCTTTGCGAGCATCCCAATCCCTATATATTTCCAAATTCGTATTCCTGGACTGCAACTCCCAGCAATCCTCCAGATAGATAAATGGAGATAGGTAGGTAGGTAGATAGATAGATTGATCAGGAGGACTGCTGGGAGTTACATCCAGGAATAGGTAGAGAAGGAAGAAAGGGGAGAAGGGAAAGAAAATTTGGGGAAAGGAAGGGAAGAAGAAGAGAAGGAAGGAGAGAAAGAAAGAAGAGAATGTACAGTCACAAAATACATGCAACAAAATACAATATGTACCCTCGAAACACAATATGTACCCTCGAAAAATATATCTAAATGAACATCAATAAAGAGTGAATAAAGGTGGACTTCCACAAATATCTGTGTGTCTGTAAGAGAGAGAATGCTGTATTATATATATAAACAAACACACACACACATATATACACACACACATATATTTTCACAGGTTATAAAACACATACAACAAAATACAATATGTATCCCCGAAACACAACCTGCAAGGAAAAATAGATCGAAATCAGCAACAACAAAGAGCAAGTAAGGGTGGACTTCCAAAAATATGTGTATGCCTGTGAGAGAGAATGCTGTATGATATTATTTTTATTTGTTACTCATAGGAGGGGTACAACAGTCAAAACAAATTAACATAAAAAACAATACTACAAAATACATCTATAATAACACACCATTGTGAAATTTGTACTCCAAAACACAAGGTTCAAGGAAAAATAGATCAAAATCAACACCATCAAATAGCTAATAAAGGTGGACTCTATGAATATTTATTTATTTATTATTTATTATGAATATGTGTGTGTGTGCGAGACAGAGAGAGAAATAGAGAATACTTTATAATAATATATTTTAAAATTTGTTATTTGCAGGCGGGATATAACACAGAACGTATCAACATAAAACACATACAACAAAATACATCTATAACAGACATGGGCAAACTTGGGCCCCTCCAGTTGTGGGAGTTGAAGTCCAAAGCACCTGGAGGGCCCGTGTTTGCCTGTGCCTGGTTTATAATAACACCCCATGGTAAAATATGTACCCCAAAGAACATGGTACAAGAATCAACATACAAATCTAAAATCCATGAGTTTTTAAAGATGTCTTGTATTTTGCCCTGCTTTTTTCCTGACATGGGGACCCAAGGCGGCTAATAATCAGATAAAACAATGCAAATTAAAAACAGAGTAAACAAATGTAAATATGAATATGATATTTTTAAAAAAATATGACATCTTTTGTGTCATGAAGCATAAAAACTAAAATACAATTAAAATTACAGTTAAAAACTAGATCCCCCCCCCCCCCCCCCCCCCAAAAAAAAAATCCCACTCAGTATTCCCACCAGGCTGCCCCTCATCATTCCCATCATTGCAAAAGGCAAGCCGGGATGGGACTATTCTGATCTCTAGGGAGAGGGTTCCAGTCTGGGAGCTGCCACTAAGAACCCTATAG